CTACGCATCATCATAGAACAGAGTATAGAATGGCAGTCAACTCTCTACCTCACATCAACTTAATCGACTTTGAGAAGGCCTTTGACAGCGTCGAACGACAAGTAATTGGCAGGCAGCTACTTCAACACTACGCAATACCACAAACATTTATCAACCTCATTCAACAATTATATGGAGATGCCACATGCCAAGTAATTCACAATGGAAAGCTCAGTGATGTCTTTGAAGTGAAGACAGGTTGACAGGCAAGACGAGGTTGCCTACTATCACCCATGATATTCCTGATTGTGGTCAACTGGACTGGATCATGCAGCAAACAGTGAGGAGCGTCAAGAGAGGGATACGCTGGACCACGGAAAAGAACCTACACCACTTGGATTTCACCAGTGATGACTTGTGTTTAATGTCTTATAGCACAAACTGGAAGATCTACAGGGGAAAACTAACAAGTTGACAGAAGAGGCAAGGCAGGGTAGAGCAGCGAACACGGGACTCCAAGTGAATATAGGGAAGACAGAGGTGATGAAGACATCCAACCAACAACAGGCTTCAATCACCATCAACGGGAGAAACCTAAAGGAAGTAGCCTCCTTCACCTACACCTATCTGGCTGGGCAGCATCGTTTCAACTACAGGCGGCACAGGCACAGACGAGGATGTCAAAGTCAGGGTTGGAAAAGCAAGACAGACGTACATTAGCCTGAAACCAGTGTGGAGATCTACTGTACTCCATTCAGCATAAAGCGTGAAGAACATCCGCATTTTCAACACCAATCCAGTCAAGTCAGTCAGTGTTTCTATTTGATGGTTGAGAGACTTGGCGCATTACGGTAAGCGTTTCTAAAGAACTGCAGATATTTATCAACAACTGCTGCCTACACTGGCTCATTATTGAAGATCAGATGGATTGCCAGAAACAATAAGCAACAAGGAACTCACTGTGGCTGGAAACGAAACAACCTATCAGCCAAGGAATATGCAGAAGGAAGTGGAGATGTATTGGGCATACACTGAGAAGGCCGACTGGGACATCACAGTTCAGGCCAGTTGGTCGATTGTAATTCAGATGGGAAATGGCGAGTTGGGCATCCCAGCTGAGGGTAACATGCAGGTGATGGTGTGAGGAAGAAATGAGAGCTTGTGGGCTGTCGTGGAGCCACGTCCAAAAGATTTCAGAGAACAGAGAGCATTGGAGACGTGCTACTGAATCCCTATGTTCCATTAGGAACCCAAGGGACTAGTAATAATAATAATAATAATATTCTTGTCTTCATGGATATTTTACACACACAACTAAACATCAAACAGAATACAGATTTCCTACAAAAACTCAACAAGAAAACTTGCTTCGCTTGCATTTCGCACCTTTCAAATGTAAGATGATGCTCCAGGAGTGGTGTATTTCAACTACCCGCAGTAAAATGATAAGGAGTAAAGTGGTGGAATGTATCGAACACTTTACCTACTTGGGAAGTTGCATCAGAGCAAACAGGCTGGTTGAGAACGAAATCTCAACTAGGATAAAAATTGCTCTTTCGGCATTTGTCAACTGGCGAGATATCTGGTTACCTATCAAAAGACGAGTACACTGCACTACACACTGTTATTTCTTGTTAGACAGCTGCGAGACATGAGCAATAAAATTAGAGGATATGAAGCAAATATAAGGTTTCAATAATACATGCCTTCGTAGCCAAGTTACTGCCTACCTCGACGTGTTATGCTATAGAAATCTTGATAAGATTAGAAGAGGATTCAGATTGGCCAGACAAAAATGTGTCACCAGTGGAAGAAGTCCCTGACTGTTGACTTAATCCATATGAGGAGATGTGAACTGTCAAGTTGGGGTTTGTGAGAAGAAATAAAATCAGTGGTTGAGAACTGATTCTTGGTGACAGCTGAAAATCAGTCACAATGGTGTGAATATATTCCCTGTTTAACGTCTTCTAAAGCTTAAATACTTGTAATAACCTTCATCTTCAAATTGTTTATCCTCTCACACGACTTCATCTACTTTGATGCCACCACTTTTCTATCCACCTTTTGTTTGTGTATTACTTCACAGTCTTGACACCTGAGTGATTCATTTGTATCCGAGATTCCATTTTTATTATTATTTGTCCCTTGGGTTCCTAGTGGAACATAGGGCTTCAGTGGCACGTCACCGTTTCACTCTCTTCTCTCCAGTCCTTTTGGCCTTGCTCCACCACTACCCAAAAGCTTTCATCTCCTCTTCACACCATCTTCTCCATGTCACCTTTGCACACCCAACTCGTCGTCTCCCATTTGTGTTCCACACGACGGCCTGGCACCTGATGTACCCAAAAGGTCTTCTCAGTGTATGTCCAATCCAATCCATCTCCACTTTCTTCCTCTGCATATTTGTTGACCGATAGCTTCTTGGTTCGTTGCTTCGTTGCCAGCTAAACTTCCTTGTTGCTTATTCTTATTATTCTCACCATCTGGTCTTCAGTATCGAGTGAGCGTATGCGGTGGCTGTTGATGAATGTGTGTAGTTTGTTTGAAATGCTTTTCGTGATGTGCCAAGTCTTTCAACCATCATATAGAAGCACTGACTAGACTGAATTGGTGTTGCCAATCCGGATGTTTTTCACTTTTTTTGCTGAGTAGAGTGGATCTCCACACACGTTAATGAAGGAAAGCGTGTCTAGTTGTCTTTCCGATCCTGGCTTTGACATCCTTAGGTTCTGAGCCATATCGCCTACAGTCAGTCTCCAACCACTGGTTTCTCTTGTCCCGCCGACCCCAACCAACCAGTCTGCATCGCCTCTCTACATGGCTTAAACCAACTGTCTTGGTTTTCCAATTTTGGCTTTGACGTCCTTATCTGTGCCACCTGTAGTTGGGATGTTGCCTGGGTAGGCAGGTGAGACAACTTCCTTTAGATTTTTCCCGTTCATTCTGATTGCTGTTGTTGGTTGGATAACTTCATCACCTGTCTTCTCTACGCTCACCTGAAGGAAGTCGCGTCTCCAATGTCATGTTGGTTTTCGCCTGTAGATCTTCGAGTGTGTGCGACATTAAACACAAATCGTCATAGGCGAAATCCAAATCTTCTGGAATCTATTCATCAAGCCAGAGTGTGCCCAACTTCTGTCCGTGGTTCGACTTTGATTTCACCAGTCAATAAGTGATAGAAACAAATCATGAATTTAGCCTCTTTTGTGAACAATATCATTATTTTTTTAATGCTAACTTAGTTCTTAGTTAATTTTATATTGTTCTTAGCTTTTCCAACGTTTGAAACAGAGATTGGTGTGCAGGAAACCGACATGGAACTGATTAATCGATCCTTCTCATTAGCAAACAAAACTTTGTTCTTTGATTCAGAAGATCTTTTTCTGAGACACTAAAGTAGATGAGTTTTCTACGAAATATCTTGCCAGAAAACAGATATCCATCGAATTTCATAAATTGTAATATAAGAGAAAACCGTCAAGTGGAACGTTTATCAATCGTCCCGAAGAAAATCTTTTACATAAATCAGGGAATCCTAAGGCAGTAGTCCAGCTGAAATCCTCGAAAATCACCTTTCAGGAGAACATTTCACCCAGCTAGCCTGAGGACCTCATTCTCCTGTAAATAATTAATCCATAGGTTTGTTGAAGACAGAATACTGCATTTAGCTTCCTCTGTATGCATTCATCAATCGACTTGATTCTGTGCACTGGTCACATACAATGTCAAATGTGTACGCGTATCTCGGAATATTGTTCACCTCGGTTACCCAGAGGAGAGAGAGAAGAAACATTATGAATCCTATTCACCAACTCCTTCTCACCTCCAGATATCTGAAAACTTTTAGTAAATTCCACAACTTAGTTCACATGGTGCCTTCGTACAGTTTCAAAAAATCTCCTATACCAAGCCAAGTGCTTGCAAGTTGCCAACATTAAACTTGATCTTTATACTGAAATACATATATCACATACCGTCACTAACCACACCAACTTCAGAGTAGCGATTCCATTTTAGAGTTGGATAAAACTATTTATTGTACTTTTTTAGCATTTACAGGATAACGTTTCGGACTAATACTGTTTCACTGTCTGATAATTTTAATAAACAGATGAAATTGAAGTTTGACACTTATGATCTGCAGTGATTCGACGTCTCCCATCAAATGGGCTCTTGTACAGATGCCTAGATACTGCATAACTACTCAGGTGCATCCAGCTGATGAGTCTGAAATAGGATAAGACGAGAAGCTCCGTGTTCCACTTCTAATCACCAAGTAGACAACAAACTAAAATGAAATTACAATTTAACACAGCCCCCATGTAATCAATTGACCTTGTTAGCTAATAACAGACAGTTATTTGATCCAATTGCTTATAAAAGATAATTGTACCTCTTTTGGTAAATGAAAACAGATGCTGTATCGCTTTATTCAGTCTGGAAGAACTGAAAGTATGCTAAACTAAGAGAATGAAATGGCACTAATGTGTAATGTAAAAACACTCTTCTTTGCCATCTACAATATTCAGTAGTTCTATTGAGTTAGACAAATGATTTAAAAATCATACAGCCTGTTTCCTTAATAATTAGCACTTGTTCATCCACATTCACCTCAGACATGTGAATTGTTTTAACCACCTGAAACTATGCATTTCGATTGAAATAAGTGCTAACAAATGTTTCTTTAAGAAGATAGTAGAATATACGATCTTTGGAGGCAATCGACAGAAAGCTTTGCTTCACACTTAAGTAAGCATCCTGCCTAGTACCATTTGTCAGTAAGGCGTAAGTGCAACTTTAAAGAAACTGATGCCCCTTACGAGATTAAAACCTGTTATTCAGTAGTGCAGCCAAAGTTGGTACCACCAGAATGTTCTGACCGTGATTTACCTCCTGTAAGACTGAATAATATACACTGACTAATCTACAGAGAATAACCAATCAGTGTATACTGTAACAAAATAATTGTCAACAGGTCTTTCTGAATACCTTATCATAAGCAACATATGCATAGGTTTAATGCAGGTTTTAGTAAAAGCTAAATGTACTTTTGGATTTGTTAGTTGGTTGGAGGCAATCGGCAGGAAGCCCTGTCTCACCTAGGTTTCGGTCTGCACTCAGGACTAGACAACATGAAATTGGTTGCACTCCTGTGACCAACCAGCACATGTAAGCCAGTTCCATGAACAAATCAAAAACCATTAGGTTACAAGGTAAATAGAACATTTTGATTGGTCAGCTGAAGAATAAATTGTCCAATAAGATTTTTCCTGACCAAAAAGTAAATATGAAATCTTCACATGTACATTCACATACTACTGACTGACTGATATGAGTAGTTTGAGTGTTAGGCACATTGAAGTGTTATGAACTCACTTAGAGCCGAACTTACCAGTACAGTATATCAATGGTGATATAGCAACAATGCATATATTACATTTTCTATTCGTATGAAAGGGACAATAAGCACATGCTAACAAATCTGCTCACACTATAATTGCACTACATCAATGGAAGTAACAAGACAGAGTTTCGGAGTGCTAACAACAAAAATAAGTCAAGTCAGGATAGATATACATAGTCATGATAGCAGATCGAAGTTGCATTATATCACCAACAATAATAGAACCCTACCTCCTGAGCTATGATCCACCCCCCTCCGCTCAATCGAATTTACTACCTATGTTAACAGAATGATGATGAAATACCTTGAGTACTCGAACTGAAGAATACTGTAAAGGCAGTGTTCATGAATATCGGATACTTTCATTCAAGAAACGCAACTCTTAACCACTAGTTCAAAATTTTAAACAATCTCACCAACTGCTAGTCTTACAGGACTATGTCGACCACTTCATTTACCTAAAGAGTTGCATTAGCCCAAACACGCTGGTTGATAACAAAATCTCAACTCGGATACAGAAGACTACTTTGACATTCGTTCTGTCCTGTTATACGCCTGTGAGACAGCCTTTAAAAATCACAGATATCGTCGTAGCACTGCTCACCTTTGATAAAATCACTGTGTGAGCAATGTTGAAGTCAGGTGAAGATTATCAGGCAAGATGAGCTAGTCGATTGATGAGGTTGTGAAACTTAATCGACTGAGATGGCTTGGATCAAGTTAGAAGACGGTTCATGGTGACCAGATCAAGATGGGGCACCAGTCGATGAACTACCAGACTGTTGGCCTGAGCCGTGTGGGGAGATATAGACTGGCTGACTAGGGTCACCGAGACAATAGGAATCAGCGGTTGAGGACTGGCTCTTAGTGATATAGCTGAAAACCAGTCATAGTAGCCACAATATATTCACTCCTCAGTATCTTCTGAAGCTTCAATATTCACACTAACCTTTATCCTCAAACTGTCCATTCCCTCTAACTATATTTTCTTCTCCGATTTCACTCTTTTTCTATCCACCTTTTCTCTGTACATACTACTGTGAAATGAGTCAACTTGTGTGAGGGTTCACGTTGATTTGGCTAGTCAGTCAGTCAGTCAGCCAGTGAACAAGACTACAGAATTCATAATATAAATGTTTTAAGAACACATTCCATAGTCTAGAAAACTCTATATCTAGCAAATATGGGATTTCTTAAAGATTTATTTTTGGTTTACATGGCTAAGATTACTAAGTTTATGAATAATTTGAAGATATCTACCTAACTAACTCACTTGTGGAATCACATCAGCTTTCAAAGAGAGTCACAGATTTCAACAAACATCATAACGCAATCACACACACTTCAGTAGGTGGATTAGTCAGATGTTAGACAATTTATCTTGATGGTTAAACTTTAGAGCTACAGAAACGTACATTATACAGTCGATCATCAAACAAACCACTATGCTTAACAAGGTTTCACACAATATGAGGTAGCAACATTAACTACTAGAGGATAAAACTGAATCTGGTCGCTGAGTTGCACTATTTACAATAAACCGCTTTTAAAATGATAAGGAAATTAAAAGGGTTTGTAGTTTACACACCAAGCTGTAAACTACACCTATAATATACTAATGCTTATAAAAAGAACGACCCTAGAACGTTTGGATTTCGCCGATCATCATTTATATGTAATGTCTTGTAGCGAAAACTCGAAGATCTACATGTGAAAACTAACAAATTGATAGAAAAGGCAGAGCAGCGAAAGCGGGACTTCAAGTGAATGTAGAGAAGACAGAGATGATGAAGATACCCAACCAACAACAACAACAACAAGTACCAACCACCACTAATGGGAGAAACCTAAGGGAAGTAGTTTCTTTCACCTACCAAGGCAGCATCATTTCAACAACAGTAAGCATAGACGACGATGTCAAAACAAAGATCGGAAAAGCAAGACAGGCTTTCATTATCCTCAAACCAATGTGAAGATCTACTGCACTCCATCCAGCAAAAAGCGTGAACAACATCCACATTGTAAACACCAATTCAGTCAATTCACTGCTGCTTTATATGCTTCAGAAACTTCGAGTGTCACCAAAACCACTTCCAACAAACTACACACATTCAACAACAGTCGCCACCTACACTCACTCCATACTGGAAAGCAGATCCCAAGGCCAGAAACAATAAGCAATAAGGAATTCTGGCTGGCTACCAACGAACCAACCAACAACCTATCACTCAACAAATATGCAGAGAAAGTAAGTGGAGATCGATTGGATTTTGCATACGCTGAGAAGGCCAACTGGGGACATCATGCACCAGGTCAGTCGCTCGAGTGGAAACCAAATGGGAGACGATGAGTTGGGTGTCACAGCTGAGGGTGACATGGAGGAGATGATGTGAGGAATAAATGAGAGTTTGTGGGCAGTCGTGGTGCCAGGTTCAAAAGACTGCAGAGAAGAGAGTGGGAATGGAGATGTGCTACTGAGGCCGTATGTTCCACTAGGAACCCAACGGAAAAATAAACAATAATTTATTTTTTTTAAAAACACGGGTAAACAGACTAGTTAGATAAGTATCTCTCATTAAATGATATCTAAACATGTGAGTAATAGCCTCATAGTGATCCTAACCTACCGCCATTTATTCAGTGTGTACAATATGACAATGACTATCCTGGAGTTTAATTTGACCTGAATAAAGATATACACAATCTAAACAAAATAATACTATTCTCCTAAAAAAGAATAAATGGAACCACGGTGCTTCACAGCTGATACACTATGATTATCATATCAAACAAAACTTCATAAGAAGGAGAAGGTGGACACATTGATGGTTCCCTGTCACATATCGATGATAATTTTTATTTAAGTACACAATTGTAAAATGAACAAAAGCCATAGACACACACATATGTATGCATGTGACCGTCAGTGACTAAAAACAGTAGAAATGAATAAAAAAGTAACCTAAGTAGTATTAGTAGTAGTAGTATTCATATGCCTAGAAATTAACAATTAAAAATAAAGTAACCGAAATAAAAACAAAGCAAAGGACAATAAACGTTTTTGATTTACAAAGTAATCCAATTACTCTTTTATATGGCTAGATATTCTGCTCTTCATATCTCATAAAAGATGTCGAACAAGTACACAACCACCTCATTCATACAGTTGAGGCGTGTAGGGCAGTATCAAAGTTTTCATATTTCCAAATAACACACACACACACACACAGATCAAGTCAGCTGTGGACAAAATTTCAAAACAACAATGTAGGTTAGAGTAATCGACAAAACCAAGGGGAAAAAAACAATAATAAAATCACCTGATCGAAGGCGCACAAATGATATTTATGGACAATGATGCGTGTAAAAGGGAGCGACTGTAAAGGTCACCCTGGCAACTGCTAAGATAGCCAATCACGTTTCAGTATTTCGTGAAGAACTATCTTTCTGGCCAGAAGACTGAAATCTGATTGGTGAGGGACTTTAAAGGTCACACTCTAACAACTGCCAAAATAACCAGTCACGTTGCGGTATTTTGACTGAAAAGACAATTTCCCACAGAATAGAGAAACGTGATTGGTTGTTTCGTCAGTGGCCTTCAAAGTCACTCCTGATTGGCTGTTTCAGCAGTTGTGTTGATGGCCTTTAAACTCACCCGTAAAGGGAGGAGGTTATGATTAGGAAAAAAAACAAACATTTTGAGCAGATCGAAATGTCAGCCATGTGTACCGGTAGATACATCCAAAAGGATAAAATATTATAAGTTACCTGATGTGATGAAAGTATTATCATGATCACTATGGTTACAAGGAAAAGATTGGAAGCAAGAGGATAGAAGAGTGAATTAAAGATGAGAAGAAAATCAATTGGAAATAGTGCAATGACTAAAAAATATGCAATGAACAGTAGATGATGGTGTTCAAAGTAACAAGATCAGGTGAAATAAAATATTTTCTAATCTTGAATAGAGGAGAGGAAATAATAATTAAAGAAAAAAGACTTAACAATCCCACCCATCTATGCACGTTTGGCTGCTGTTGGTCTAATTGTAGTACATCCAGATGGTTGTGCAAAATAATTGAAGAAATGTCGAGTTGGTTTCAAGTCATTAAGAGGCATAGCCTGTAATACTTCATCCAGTAACTGTAATGGTCTAAAATAGGAGAATAACAATGAAACAATCAATCCAGAGATGAATAGCATCTTTTTTAATCTTGTCTCTGTATAGTTACTAAATATCATTTTATGAAATTTAATATCGCATAGTTTCGAGAAATATTGAACAATTCATCATTAGGTGATCGATTTACCCCAATCTTTACCACTTTTGGCAATATCCTTTTCCATCTGACTGTTAAAAGCGGCTGCATAACATTCCGATGTGTACGTCTACTCTAGTAGTATAGACCTAGCCTTTAAGAACCTAAGAGTAAATAAATCACTATGTTTAGCCGACGATTTTCAGGGAACTATACATACATACTATACTAGGACACGAAGTTACTTCAGGATCCACTGGTGTTTGGATATGACAAATGAAGTCACACTTTATACATCATCTCAGCAGCATACAAACATTTAGTTGTATTGTGACACGAGATATTTACGCTTATTCAGTATTTCTCATTGCTTAACAACCTTTTTCATGTAACCCAAGATACTAGGCAATACATAGAAGCGGAAGTTATGGTTGCAAATAGAGAAGTAGAGTGTCAAAATGATTGAGCACGGAGTTCAGCACTCAGATATTATCTTGTCTTATACGTGGCTCCATTGAAGAGAATGTATCAAGGATGACGCATCTTGACTTATGCTCTTTTTTTTATCTCTCTCAAACTACGCTGTGTTGCGTAGAATTTCGAAGGTTGTTAGTGATACACCACTAACCGTACTAATTAATATGATCGTGGATAGGCATCTGAACTCTTGTAGACAGATAGCTGCAAATATTTTATCTGACGACAAGCATCCTCTGCATCCGCATCCCTTTCTGTATCCATCCTCTGGTTAAACAAGAAGAAAATATATTAAACTCTGTGTATGTACAACCGCATACAAAAATTTAATTGTATCACCTTATTTAGCTTGTGTATTGCATGAACAAAATCATCTAAGACAGAGTCTTATCAATCAACTTTACAATATCGAACAGGTATCACATCGCTGGCTTTCCTGATTGTGATGAACTGGATCACGCAACAAACTGTGAGGAGCGAGAAGATGGGCATAGGCTGTTTGACCGACGAAAAGACCCTAGAAGATATGGATTTCGTCGATCATCATTTATGTCTGTCTTGTAGAAGAAACTCGAAGATCTACAGGCGAAAACTAACAAGTTGAAGTATGAGGCAGGGTAGTGAAGACGGGACTTACTTCAGGTGAACGTACAGAAGACACAGGTGATGAAGATACCAACCAACAACAACAAAAAGCACCACTCACCAACAACGCCAGAAATCGAAAGGAAGCTGTCCTCATTCACCTACCTAGACAGCATCGTCTCAACTACAGGCGATACAGGCACAGATGAGGATATCAAATCAGCTTGGATCGGAAAGACAACAAGACAGACCTTCCTTCACTAATCTAAAATCAGTGTGGAGATCCACTGCACTGTACTCAGCATGAAACGTGAACAAGTTCCGGATTTTTAACACTAATTCAATGAAGTAAGTCAGTGCTTCTATATGATGGTTGAATGACTTGGCACATCACGAAAAGCATTTCAAACAAACTACACACATTCATCAACAGCCACCGCATACGCTCACTCGATACTGAAGACCAGATGGTGAGAATAATAAGAATAAGCAACAAGGAAGTTTAGCTGGCAACGAAGCAACGAACCAAGAAGCTATCGGTCAACAAATATGCAGAGGAAGAAAGTGGAGATGGATTGGATTGGACATACACTGAGAAGTCCGTTTGGGTACACCACGTACCAGGCCGTCGTATGGAACACAAATGGGAGACTACGAGTTGGGTGTGCAAAGGTGACATGGAGAAGATGGTGTGAAGAGGAGATGAAAGCTTCTGGGTAGTGGTGGAGCAAGGCCAGAAGGATTGGAGAGAAGAGAGTGAAATGGTGACGTGCTACTGAAGCCCTATGTTCCACTAGGAACCCAAGGGACACATAAAAATAAATGTAATAACACAGATCTGAAGTCATGAAACATGGAATATTACATGCTGACAATTCTGTACTGTAAACAAAATTGTGGTTGGGAATAAAAGAAAATTATCTTTATTATTATTATTATTATTATTATCATTATGCTGGGGATATAGATACCTTCATACAAATCTGATCAGTTCCGTAGTCAGATATTTTACAACTAAACAGTCTGTATCGTGTATATCGTACCCATCGAGACATTGAATCCCTAATTCGGCATCACATATTTTTCGCGTAAATAACTTATGAACGCTACTGATGTCGATAACCACTGCAATGGATTGACCAATAACACAAATCTAATGTTGAATAGAATGATATACTTCTAAGTTGTAAATAGATACATTCATCATTTTCATGATGTTTTCTCAACCACAGTAAATGATCATTTATACTGAAAGATTAATTGCTAACCTTGATATTCTACTGCAAGACTGACTACAGGGAATTCACTTATATCGACTAGTACAGGAGAATGACATTTTTAACTGATGAAAATTAAGATGAACTCAGAACGTATTGAAACATGATCAGTATTTGGAAAGAAGGTGTCCCTCTCCCACAAACTCGTATCATTGGTAACTGATCCCATCAGACTACTACTACTTGCTGATATCCTTGTAATTCTCCGTTGTTCAACCTCTATTGTGGCATATAGGCTCACAAGTGGATGCCTTGATATAGCCTGAATATTAATTATGATAATTGGTTTCTGCTAGTAGAGGAATCCAGGACTAGTGGATAACACCTTGGTGTTTCAAGCGATGGGGAACGAGGTTCGAGTTCCAGTGGGAACAACATCACTTAGCACTGGGATGCAGGCAAATCCAGCTGACGAGTCTCAAATAGGACGAAATGTCAGTCATGGGTTTCTCTGTTAGCCACAGCCAAGGAAGTGGTCCTACCAGGATTAATATGAAGGTGACAGATGGACACCGCTAATTAGCATACCAGTGACAAACGTGCTAACAGTGGTGCTAGTGAAAAGTGGGTTGCAATCTGAGTGACCAACTAATCCTTGTCTAATCTCTATCTAAATAACTCGCCTCTGGTTCTAGACATCTAGAGCTGTACAGTTATCCTGTCAGCCAACTGAATTCTCAGGTCTAAGGACTTGGTCGGTTACTGTAGCCTCAGTTTTAACACTTGCCTGAAAACCTGATAGTTGCAAGAACGAAGGTCGATAATTCAAAATCCACAAAGCATCAGTATTTATTCTCGCACAACTTGGTATTTGAGTGCAAAAATAAAGCCTTTTAAATTAATGTTCACGTGACAAAAGCAAAACATCTTACCTGTGCAACTGTATTTCTATCCAACATGGTGTTTCTTTGATGCTACGCCGAGGATAATCAGGTCCCCAACCTTTTACAAAACTTAATCGAAGCATACAAAGACGTCTTAGATCATCGACACCTACACCAGCTGTAGCCATAATAGACGCTCCTGTACCTAATCCACCGTGTAAAGGACCTGGAGTTGGTTGACCAGAACCTAGAGGTAATGCTCCAGGAAGTTGAGACAATAAATCACTCGTTGTTGGTGATCCAACAACAGCAGCAGCTTGACGTACAGCAGCAGCATGAGAAGACTGAGCAAGCGACTTCATTTCTTCATGACACTGTCTTATATCAAAAACCTATAATAAAAATAATAAATAATGTAGATGAAAGCATATTGAAAGTGGTTTATACAAAAAATAAACCTATAGTACGAAGTCGACCTCAGCAGTAAAACACCTGCAATTCGATAGCAGATAGGATAGGATAGGATAGGATAAACGATATATTAAGTATATTCAATCACAGTTTTAAAGTCAATTCTAATCGAAGAAGTGGAACAATAAATGAAATCAATATAATAACAATAGAAATTATGCGTATATAATATTTCACCTTAATATAAGCACCCGGATATATCTTATGGACAGCATCTCCAGGTGCACGACCAGCTTCTCGATCCAAGTAGTAGCTTTGAACAAATACAGAGAATTCAGAAAGACACCGAATCCATACATCACCTTCTCCAACATTATCCAGTTCTACACCTTTACCGATATAGAGTCGTGACTTTTCAGACTGCTCTGACCTGTACATACATACAGTAGTAACAATATAATATATAATTCCATTGAGTG